GGTCTTAGCTTATCCGAGCTTTTTTTCCTAACTAAGTTATAATGAGGCATTAATTCTTTAAAATAAATTTACCTCTCATCAGGTCATTGATATCCCGAGTTGCAGGAGGTACACGAAGCTGGTTGCATCCTGGCATCTTCTTCCCACCATTTGGGTAAAAATCCAGGTGGCCACAAGTCTGAAGAATGCCTGGAGCTGAAATGCACAATGGATCCTGGCAGGTCACTCTCAGGTGTTCTGTAGCCAACCTGTGTGCCAATGGCAGCCTTTAAATGAAAACTTACCAAAGTCAAAGAAAAGATGACCAGCATGAGTATGAATTACATCAACAAATTTTGCATCTGAAGGATCCAGCCTAACCATTGTGGGAGTGTACTGGAAAAGGGGCCCAGCTGGATCCAAACCTAAATGAATGGAGATACATTTGATTGAGTAAATAATAGTCTATGTATATCACCACATGCTATATATGGGATTATATTTCTTCCTTTACTCCACATATAAAAACCCATTTTGTGTTTTTAAACAGGCAGGGTATCAACAGAAAGCTGACTGAAAGCATTGCAGCACAGTAAAATGCTGATGGCTGCTTGGCTTACTTTTGGGAACAATGGTATAAGAAAAAGCTTGGTTTGCTGGGGTTTCTTTTGTTATTTTGTTGAAAAATATGAAATCTTCATACGTTACTCTGAGCATGTAGATTTATTTATGAATTTTTATTTGGCAAGAAGTCTATTTTTATTTCTAGAATATCTTGGTTGAAAATGGTCTCTTTGGAGATAAAGAAACACAGCTCTCAGTCTGGTTCCCTGAATTTCTTGTGTGACTGCTCATGTGTGCATGGCTTAGACACATCTATGCAGAGAAAAGAACTGATTGGGGGAGAAGAAAAGCAGAAAGTAGTGAGTTTTTAAAAGAAAATTATATGTGGCTGTGTCACAACTTGTGTGCCTCCATGCTGGCTGAACACTGTTATTTATGACAAACCACGCTGCATTCTGTATTGTATGTTTATAAAGCAGCAGTGATTCTTGAGTGGAAATATGAAGTTTTATCAGCTGAAATACCTGCAGTACCTGTTATTCTTCCAATGCCAGGTTTCCTCCTCCCTGCCTCCCCTGCTACGTGTGCTCCAAGGCTATGGCCGATGAAATGGATGTTGGCAGGAGAGTAGCCATACTCTGTCTGTGAAGGTTTATGGAAAGGAGAAAAAAACAGTATGTATGGGTATACAAGGCAGTGACACTGCAGCATGGCCCCATGCAGTGCCAGGACATGGCCAGATCACTGGGCAAGGGAGATGAGTGTGCTGGTGGAAAGTTACAGTTCTGGGTGTTGGGATCTCTACCTAAAGAGAAGCAATTCCCGTCATCTCACCCTGCTTCATTTTCAGGGTGTTCATGGCTATTGACCATCTTATCCTCATACACTAAATCTAGGGGATTTAATTTCTCATTTCAGATTTTCAAACCTTTTGAACTGCTGAAAAGTCATGTTAGTTTTTCAAAATCAGTTACTGCACTGAAGAAGGTATTTTCATTTTTGTGGGATTAGAGCCCTTTTATAATATTTGGACCTGGTTTACCTTGTACTTCTTGTTCTTCCTTGCTGTATTGAATCAAACCAGAAAATGCCACTCTAAGCATGACCTTTACCATGTGGACTGGGCATATTCCAGGGACATTGTTTTACCTCGAGGAAGTTCACCAGGTACTCCAGCTCGGCCCCCACAATGCGGACGTTGTTGACAGCGTCCGTGTACAGACCACTGGAGCCGCCCCTCCAGTCTGTCAAAATGCAGTTCACATCTTCAGAGTGAAACATGGACTGGTGGAGAACAGGAAAACAACAACGAGAAGGGAACAGGCATTAATGGCAATTGTAGCAGGGCATATGTAAACTACATTTTGTTTTGTTTGTGTGACCAATGATAACACATCTTTTGTGATTCCTACTGATGCTGAAGATCAACACAAGGAGGCAGAGTGGAACCAGTAATTAGAGGACACTCACAAGCTTCCTTCAGCTCTTTTTTCCATTCCAGATGCCTTGGCTGGCTCTAACATACCAACTTCTCTTAATGACAGTATCCCTCTTACCAAACTAGGTCCGAGCTTTATTCCTCAAATTGTTTATTCTTGGATCATCTAAAAGGATTCTCAAATTTGTGCTTGAATTGTTCAGCCCTGAAGTTTATACATTATAACCAAAATATTCTATTT